GTCTGAAATCTAAGTCTAAAAATTTTTCAAAACTAATTTAGTTTGACTTAATTACAAAGGTAAAAAGAAGTGGTATATTCGATTCTTGTGCATTCTCCAATATTGCAGTCAAGCTATTTCTTGTTCACAACATATACAACTTCATCAAAATGAAGTTGTATATGTTATGAAATTTCAACTTCCAGAAACGAATATATTCTCACTCTGATTTTTTCGAAAGACGGACGAGTTTGTCACAGATTCTCAACAATCCTATCTTCAACCTAAATTTCTACATTTATTTTTCTTATGAAAAGATGCATCAAAGCCCTGACCATGGGCAAGCAAAAATCCAAATGTTTCTTCCAGTCAAATAAGTCCCATCAAAGATCAGCATCTCCTATTACTTTTCATAAACTAGCGCAAATATAAACTGGTTTTTAACTTTTAAAAGTTGAATTCGATTTTAAATCATTATACGTATGATTTTTTTCCGCTAGATTTTAATGTGCTTGTGCTGCGGTGAGGAAAGGAGGGAATATGGCGAGATGAGAGTGAGCCAATACACAACATCGAATGTTGTACGCTGATGATGAGTTTTGAAATTGCAGCTGGAATTCGGGAGTGCCACTGACCGTATTAGAGAAGGAATGATGAACTCGAGGCTTTTCTACATGCTTTCAGCAAGATAGTAAAAAACGAGAATGGATAAATTTTAGATTTTTGACGAGAGAATGTGTGGCAGCTGGTAACAAGGTCTCACAAAATTTTACAGCATGATACTTTATTTCTTTCCTAGTCAGGAGTATCCGTCATCATTCGAATGCGTCTTCTTATCGGTCCGAGCATGAAAAAGAAAATAGTCAAGACAGTAACAATCGTTCTGAATATGGAAAGTTCAGAAGCTTCTTGCTAATACGCAAAATATTTCAAGTGAATAAACCAGAATGGTTATATATTTTGATGGGGCTAGTACTGTCGTCGTTAAGTGGACTTGAATTACCGATACTGGGGTATGTTGCTGCAAAATTATATTCGATCCTAAGTTCTCCGAATGAACAAACTCAGTTGAGATTGATGACAATTATATTACTTATTGTCGGTATCGGAGGCTCTCTATCTCAGTTTTTTGTCAATCTTGCTTTTACAAAATCTGGCTGTGAATTAACACTACGGATTCGATCAATGAGTTTCAAATCGATGTTACGACAAGAAATTGCTTGGCACGACGAGGAGGCCCATAGCGCCGGAATCTTAACGACCCAATTGTCATCGGATGCATCAGCATTAGAGGTCAGTAATTTAAATCACGAGCCCTGGCGGCACCTTGTTTCATTCTTAATGAGATCGAGTCGCGAACACGATTTTTTCCTTTATAACCAAAAAATGCTGGCAAAGTTGTCATCTCATACTTGTAATCGCGTTCTTAATCAAATTAGTTATGCAATCCCGTTTCAATTTGTGTTTGAAACTGTGGCGGAATCGCAACAAGATTACAACAGGAGCGCACTGAATTCGTCAGTAGATCTTGCGAAGACGTTTTCATTGTGCTTCGTTGAGGAAAAGTTTTCAAACTGATTATTCTTTGTCTTCCTTTGACTTTGTATTTGCTCTGTCTCAGGCAGTGACGATGTAATTCTTTTCTTGTTACCTCCATCCGTTGCAGAAGATTACGAAAAACAGACAGAAAAAGCGTGCGTATATATCATCCATGGTATTCACTCAATACAATTAAATTAGTCATTTCTGCACTTTTAAACAGTGCGGAGTGCGTTTTTCTATACAAAGACGCAAGAGCTCAGCAGTTTAATATTCATCGTCACTATACTCAGTTTCTTGAAACGTCGTTCCTATTAGCCAGGAGTCATAACCAAAATATGTCTATAAAAGGTTAAGACATTCAAACCCTTTCTTCCTCCGCAGACCTAACTACTTTTGCCTCCTTTCAGCACTACTTTTCACGAATATAATATTCCGTTCAATGAATACTGCTCACATGTCTTTCATGGGATACCTCGCCACAAGATAAAAATCAGTCTCACTTCTGACTTAAAAAAATAAAATGAAAACAAGATTAACATTTTTTAAAAATAAGATCTGACGTTTGCTGCTCCAAGAGCTTTATAACATGTGGACATAACCTCTAGCAGAAAAAGAAAAACTGTCAAAGAAGATTTCAGAAACCAACTGGAAAGTATCAGAAAAAGTGTATGGACATCTAAAAGTTTTCAACCACTCCGCATGCGCTTTCCAGATTTGTTCGTTTTTCATAACTCCTGCTTCGGCCTCTGTTTGGGTATACCTAAAGTATGACAGTGGCCGTGATAGTACAGCAGTAGTATCCTAAACGCTATTTTAACTTTGTACCTTTCACACAAAAGAGTAAATAATTTTGAACCAATATAGTAATCCAAAAAACTGTTTGCTGTATTTACATTTAACGAGAAAGATGAAAGTAATTCCAAACGTTTTTCTTAAAGGACAGTTTTGAGCCCTATGACTTCTGTGAACTTTACAGGAATGCTTCACTTGTTGAATCTGCTCCTACTCAAGTTTAATTTCGAGTTTTAACTAGAAAGATATAAGCAACGAAAGACTCTCTTGCAGTGTCATCAATGATTTTATCGTTTTCAGAGTTTCGCCGGAGAACGTATCGGTATTATTATGAAATCAATTACTGCGCTCGTTGCCGCGCTGATTGTGACGTTTATTGTCAGTTGGAAACTTTCATTAGTTGCACTGGTGTTTATCCCATGGATGGTAATTGGCGGAATGTTTTTAAACGAACGAAATAACGAAAATCGATCGATGACTGCCGATGTGCAAGGTGGACAGGTATTGTAGATTTTAAGTCGTTTTTTCCTCAAGCGTAAAAAATGTCAATTAACTGGCATTGGAAAGTTCATTTATAGATCTTACAAAGAGCTAACATAAGGCCTTAAAATAATTCACAGCCAAATGACAGTCTTAAGACCTTAAGATGACCGTTTGAATACCTTAAAAAGAACGTAAAACGGTGTATTCGTTAGTTGCTAAAATTTAGAATGAAGAATTAGCTTTGCTATTTAGACAATTGAGCACATGTACATTGTTAGTCTACAAACTAGAAGTATTAATTAGCTAAGGCAAAAAACTATTTATTCTTCTCTCAATAAACTGATTTTCTTACTTGCTTCTTTTTCTTTCTTACTTTCTCTACTACAGTTTTACGCATGTTTCTGTATTCTTCTGTCCTTACAATGCGAACAAACATTCAATATTTACAGATGTATAAAAGCAAGAATTAAAAAAACAGATCTTAACAATCTAAACTCATTACACGGCTTGTCCACGTAACTCCGCTGGCAGAGATGTCATGGCATTGCCTTTTTTGCTCATTTTGTTTTGAGCAAAGCTCCGTCATAAAACATTGTAGAGAGCTCGCCGACGTCTCAGATTGAAGAAAAATTGTTTCAAAGATTTTGAGATTTACCCGGTCCTTGAAAAATGTTTCTTCGAGCGTCCACGTCTGGTGCTAAAAACGCCGAAAGCGCCAGTGTAACTGTTATATTACGAGAGCAAAACCAGCTAGAGCTGATGTTTTCAAAAATGTGAGAATTAGTTCTGTTAGGTTTCCGGGTGAACTAAGATCTTTCTCACCTAACGTTTATTTACAAATGAAAAAGATTATCCTTAACAATAAAATTAATCTATTTATATACGAAATATTGCGCGATAGCTTTGAGTAGACTGTGTAATAACCTTGACTAGGGTCTACGCAATAACCTTGAATATATTCTTGCACCATAGCATTGAGTAGTCTTGCACCATAATCTTGAATATACTCTTGCGCAATTACTTAGACTATATGCTTGCGCAATAACCTTAACTATGATCTTCTTTCTTATGACACGACTGTAGTGCGTGGCATAACACCTCCCCCCTTACTAAAATTGATCGCCGAGCAATTTGAAAACTGAAAACCCACGGAAAAAAATGAAAAATTTAGTCTGTTTCTAGAACTATCCACTGTTGTTGATGTTCATTTTCTTTCAAGGCACCATAAATGGCCATAGCCAGTTCCAATTCCAATCACTAAATATTTTGTGATGTTCTAATAAATGCTTGTTAAACCTATGACTATCCACTGGTTGGCAGTTACCACTAATACTTGTTCGTAGTAGACTGTCTTCCTCACTTGTGTCATTTTGAAAGCATGGGCATGGTAAATCAGTGCTAGAGAGTGTGAATTGTAATAACGACCACGGTGGTGGTACTGATTGTGATTTTCTTTTTAATCGGAGTTGTTTCATTACATCATATAATTTTGACAATAATAACGTACAATCTTTATCCATCGTCTCATTTGGTAATTGTGCTTGTTTGTCATCATTAATTTCTTCTTCACCTTCTGCTGATGTTGTTGGTAATTGTGTGCCACTAATTAATATATTATATTCACTATTTGGTGTTTTTTGAAATCTTTCCCTTTGTTCTTTTAGCTCAGAATCTGCCCATGGTTCACCTTGTTTCGGCCATTC